TTTTTCAGGAATATAATTTACTGTATTTAAATTAATGTACATCAAAGAACATAAAAAGATATTCCATGGTATGGAGTGATATAAGCAAAGCTGTCTGCAGAGAAAGTGCTCTATTCTGGTTTATTTTCCTTTTATAAACCATATCACACTTTACTCAGGGGTCTTAGTCAGCCTTGCACTGATTTAATAAGTAAGATTGAAATACCAATGAGGAAAGTGGGGCAAGATGACAGTAAAATATCAAAGCCATCTTTTGATTCCACATGACATTAAGACATTTACAGGTTTCTACAAGATGCAAAAATGAGTGAATCACTGTCCGTTTTCGGACTCCTTCATAATTGCTCTAGAGATGCTTTGAGGTCCTTCCCGCTCCCTTTTCTCTTGGATTTCTTCCTGAGGCTCATGAGGTCTCAAGGATACACAATCTCTGGTTCCCCATGACCGGTTGAAAGGTCTTTCTGAGCACCATTCTACTACCAAGCTGTTGATCATTCTCCAGGAATAGAGTAGTGAGTGTGCAAGTACTGGGAATAAGACAGGGAGGCCCAATGCTGTTTCCTTCCACCTAATACACACACACACCCCACCCAAAATGGAAATAAGTATATACTAACCACAATGATGGAGCCATCCTAAAGTATCACTGGTACCCCTGAGACGCTAGGCTTGATGGCATTGAGGAACCTCTGGAACATCAACAGGGATGGAGCTAATCTCACTTCAGGAGGGGGAGAATGTACCCCATCACCCAAGGATTCTACATGCTTCACAAATTCAGACATTCAAAACAAGAATCAGTACAATGGGAGATTGCGAAGAAGATTGCAAGGTTAACAAAATCCAGGGTAGGAACCAATCATAAATCCACGCAGTGCAGAGATAGTTATCTCTTATCTCACCAATGTCTTAGGTGCACAATGAAGTGTTCAAAACTCTTCAAAAAGCAGCACCGTGGGGACCTTCTGGATCTCACAGGGAATCATGTCTGCTTCCTTAGCAGTCACTAATTGAAACTTCTCCCAATTCACACCACCAGACCTTGCCCCAGGCATCCTGACAATTTCTGCCCAGGTCAGGATAAATGTAAGCAATTCCACCCTTCACATAGCCTGAATAATCCTTTTGGGTGGCTCAGCAGAATTTCTGAGGTGATATAAATATGGCTGCAGCACGGATATCAGAAGACAGGATGAGGGTGGAAAAATATTGCTGTTTCACTACCCTTATACATCAGTATAGTATCCTCCTTCTCCAGATAAGAAACATAATCCCAAGAGAAAAACTGACCCAGAGACATTAGGAACACAGGGACTCAAAACCGCATCTTCCAAGAACTTGGCAAATTTTTGAGAAACACACACACCCTCACCACCATCCAGACCTTCCGCACTGCCCTTAAAATCTGGCTATCCCGGCAGGCCTGGGGTTAAAGACTCTAACCCCTACTCGAATTGTATGACTGTTGACTTCTTAAATGATATTGTGTCTTTATGTTGTAAATTGTTTGTCCTTCCCCCCACCTTTGAACTGTGAGCCGCCCTGAGTCCCCCCAGGGAAAAGGGGGGGGGAAATAAAGTGAAAACTAAAACTAAAACTAAACTAAACAATCTCAGAGATCAATTGGCCAAAGGAGCCCAAACTCCACTAATGACATCCACATAGAAAGAGGGACCACCAGGTTCCCCCAAAGAGTTTTCTGAGAGGATGTGACAAGAAATAAACATCACAGACTTCTGTTTGTTCAGTAAAGTAAAAAATAAACTTCAAAATCTAAAGTTTCTCGTGTTTGACACAAATATGGAAGCACAATCAAAAGTGCATCAGGGATAAAAATATATCCACTCTATAACTTTCTCCCTATTAGCCATATGGTACAGTCCACAGTCTGGCATTTTTGTTTTAGTCAACTCTCATCCAAAAATGGTTATTTCTAAAAAAAAAAAAAAGGATGGGAAATAAAATTTCATTTCCATCACAAGAAATCCGCCTCAGTTAGAATTCATATATAGAGATCTAATACAAAAGAAAACCCCAAACAGGTCCTACTCTTAACATTAGACAAGGTTCAAGAGTCCTGATTACTTAATTGAAATTAGTAGACAGAACTAGAGTTAACTGCCACCAACTTAGGCTAATCTCCATATCATCTCTGGCTGATGTTGTTTCCAGTGCTCTCTGGAGACAAAATACATCATTGAAGGACAGCAGAAGACATTATCTGGATTTTTAACTATATCTTCCTCCAGCATCACTTTCTGGACATGTCCTGGCAGGAAGGATCACAACCACTACAGAATAGTGCCCCAAGGGGTGTATTTGTGATTTTTCACTGAGATGCAGCTGTCCTTTACACATGGACAAAGTTCAGGATCCCAAGAGGAAAAGTTGTTTCACATTGTAATTTTCACAATTTTGGTCTTCTTCTGCTATTTCTTGCCTTTGATGTAAACATCAGACTGAAGGAACATGAAAGAGATCTTGCATCAGAAAAGAATCAATGGCTCTGATTATGTTGTTTGGCACAAGATAAAGGACAGGCATAAAAGACATCTCTTTCTCTCCTTTCTAGGTGAAGCTCAGTTTCCTTCTCCCTGAATTAGGAAAGCCACTGCCATTTCCATCTCATGAGGATACTTTGAATTCTTCTAACTCTTTTTCTTCTTTACAACAGGAAGGGAATTTATTCAGCCCTATGAATAATGGACCTACTGCTTCTGCTTCTGTTGCTTCTGATGTCCCAGCCAGTCTCTGGGAAGCTTAAAATAAAGTGTCCTCTGAATTTGGAGCACCGG